TAGAGCATTCTCTGAAATATATTAATATTATTATAATTATTATTCCATCATTCCCTTCAAAATTCCAAGTAGCACTTTCAAAATTACGTTTTCAATGCAAAAAATCAATTTTAATTGATTTCAGTGTATATAATTCAAAAATATTAATGCCTTCTTCCAAATTCCTCTCCAAGCGAACACATTTTCCTATGCGCCTTTTATTACTACCTCCATTTTTTCCCAGTGCTCTAGGTATGATCACACTGCACAATTGTAGCACGAAGATCTTTCTTTATTAGTTGACCTATTCTTCAACGCTTCCCATAAATATGGTGGTGTTAGATCTGGGAATCATGAAGGCCATACTATAAAAGGACTCTTGGATCGTATCAATTTCATAGGTAGCTTTCTATTCAACCAAACTTTCGATATGCAACTATTGATAATTCGTGAAGCATACCTTATTTTCCACATCTAGAGGTAGTTCTTTCAACGCATCGGAAAATCGAGAAAATCAGCAAAAGATGGTCCATTCAGATTCTGATCGAAAAATAAAAGGGTTCGATGATATTCTCGTTCAGAATACCACAACACACGTTGTAATATTTGAGATATTTCATTCACCACCCAATTTGAACGTTGTTCAGCCCAAAATCAGTGAAAATCAACTGTTTTCCATGGTTTTCTCAGGGCACTATTTATTTTTCATCCATTGAAACGGATGTGATTCAATCCGTTCAAATTATTTCAGATACCTATCTCATCAGCGAGTACGCAAAATAAATAATCTCAATTCTAGCTGTTTGCCGAGTTAGAATTTTCTTTTAGAAAATAACGGTTATTTCGCTGTTGCAATGTGTTTGTAACTTCCACTAGTTCGATTAGAAATCTATGGAAGAACAGATGAAATAAAAATTAACAGCTGAAATATCAATTATTTTAAGCAATAAAACGTGAAATACATATACAATACCCAAAACGAATAAAATCATTAAGATGAAGATGAAATGATCACAGAATAAAAAGGAATGGAAAAAGTATGAAAATAAAAATGAGCAAAAATTTAAAAAATAGATGTCCATGAATGANATTGATTTTCAGTCCATGATTCTCCGAGTATAGAAATCTGTTGTGCAAATCTGTGTTTATATTGGCCACGCAACTTTCTGTATCGGTGTTATGAGAAGACGAATATAACTGTATATTATCTGCGTATAGATGCACTTGACAATGTGATAAGGAAGTGGAGCAATCAAAAATAAACACTGAAAACATCAAAGGTCCTAAAATACTTACCTGCGGTACACCTGAAATTGTTTCTTTCAGGGACGACCATGAAAAATCATCCAGTTTGACCCTCTGTGATCGGGAAACCTTTTTCTCGAAAATTCTAGAGAATGGGGGCAGAATGCTGATAGGGCGTAGGTCACTGAACGTGGAAGGTGTATTCTTTTTTGAATTTGGAATTATATTAGCAACCTTCCAAACATCTGGAAAAATACCCTGTCTGAAGGACTCGTTAAAAATATGTTTAACTTCATCGGTACAGTTTAGGTACTTTTGTTCCGGCTGGCACAATGTTCCCTAATTCCTGGAGTTCCACTCCAGGAAAATCTATATTGGTAGTAAAATTAATATTACGAGTCAATTGGAATTTTAAGCCTATTTTGTCCCTCAATATTATTTTTCGCAAAACTGGATGATTCCATCGCCCCTGACGGACAGTTTATGTCACTCAGATCAAACTTAGGCAAGATTTAGACTCGTCGCCGGTATATCTACCGATTCTCAACATCACAGATTTCTACTCCAATAATTACAGAAAATACAGGAGTGTTTCCATGAAAAGTGAGACACACTGTATGTCTCAGTTTTGTAAATCTTTCATAACAAAAATCCTACAGCAGTCAACTATATTAGTGAGTTTTGTAATGAATTTTCATCATATATCGCCCAGTTCAACAAATATTAACTTCCTAATGATTTTCCAGATTATAATATGGTTGACGTCGTGTCGATCAGAATTATTCCTTTCTCTATATTTTCTAACATATTTTGTGCACAATATCCAGACACTACACAATTTATGTTCACAGTTTCTGTCATTATCAGTAATTACTTTGTCTGAATACCCTCTCACGATGCGTTGAATATAAATGAAAATTTTGATGCTTACAATTTTGTTCGAATAATTCTATCCAGTCTCTCTACAAAATGGCAACAAAGCTTCTAATTTAATCTTCCAGAAGCTCGCTCTGTGCTTATTGTCACTTTCAGAAACATGACGTTGGACTAATTGATGAATAGCCCTTGGAATTGGAATTGAGGAAACATTTTACCATCCGAAACAAAATTAATCTTCATACTCATTGTAACACCGAAACAACTGTTAATTTTGAAGTTGAAGTTGATAGCCTTGATCACGAATCTGAAGGAATTTTGAGCCTATTTTGCCCCTTAATATGTTTTACCGTAAAAATGGGGAGTTCCATCGCCAGTGACCGACAGTGTTTATCACTTTGGCCAACTCCATTTAGGTGGTAGGTGCATTTTGAGCATTTCCATCAGTCCTGAGAATTTCATCGTTCCACCTCGAATATTACGGAAGATACGGGGGTGTTTCCAGAAGAAGTGAGACAAATTCGGATTTTTCAGGACTGAAATTTTTTCAAGAAAAAAGTGTAATCGTAGTAAGTTGGTAGTCCTGATCACGAATCTGAAGGAATTTTCAGCCTATTTTGCCCCCTAATATGTTTTACTGTAAAAATGGGGTGTTCCATCGCGAGTGGCGGACAGTGTATATCACTTTGGCCAAGCCATTCAAGTGGTAGGTGCATTTTGAGTATTTACATCAGTCCTGAGAGTTTCATCGTTCTACCTCGAATATTACGGAAGATACGGGGGTGTTTCCATGAGAAGTGAGACACACTGTATGTTAGGTTGTTTCGAAAGTTCTGA